GGTCTCTGCCCTTCAGGTTGGGTTACGGTTTTCCCCAGGGTTGGCCAGTGCTGACTTGAACCGGGGGAGAGAGGGGTGTAACATGTTGGAGCAGGACTTGGGCACGATTGAGGTCTCCTCTCCGGCCTTCCATAGGGGCAAACCGCCAATTGTCTGTTCAAATTATGCCTCATGGCCCCCTGATAGAAGATGAGGGATCCTGGTCCTTGGATCCTTCTGTGCCCTAGTTCCATTTTGCAGTTAATCAGATATCAGTGTCAATGTTACTCCTATTGTTAGCAATTGATTTGCTTCTGTTGTTTGTATCGTTGGTTTTGTTCCTTAATTCCTGATTGTTTTTTGTAATTATGGTAATTGCTCTTTTGCTGGCTCGGGGGTTACCCTGGAGGAGGGGTTGGGGGGAAGGGGAGGGGAGTGAGGAGTGACGCAAGGAGATACCTGTCTGTTGTCTTCGCCTCCCTTTCCACCCTAGCAATCTTGTTGACTGTTCTTGTTGGGGCCGAGGCTTGACGATGATCCTTCTGGATTTTCTCTTCCTTTATCTTGCCTCTTCCGTCTGATCTTTGCGAATTTACACTCCCTTTATCTTGCCTCTTCCGTTTCTTCTGACTGTCTTACCTAATTTCCTCCAGCACCTCTCGCTTTCAGGTTTGTCCCGTCCTGATTGTCCTTGTTTAATTGTCTCACCTCCCTTCTTGTTCCTTTGTTCCACTTGATTTCTTCTGCCAAGTGTCGAGATCTTCCTTACTCTCTTCTTTTGGCTCGCTTGTCTCGTCCCGTCTGATTATCGTCACTCCTTGTCTTCTTTTATTGACATTCGTTGACCTATGCGTTGAGGGTTCCCCCTGCCTCGTGTGTTTTCTATCTTTGTCGCCTTCTTTATCCCTTGTGTACAGCAGCTATGGAGCAGGAGTTTCTCACATAACCCTTGAGGGGTGTACCTCGTTCGCTCCTGGCTTCCTTCACTCTGTCTGTCTTCTCGTTGACCTGTCCCTTTTTCATACCTCCCACGCCCTCACACACTTTGGTCTCGCCAAAGGCTCACTCCACTTCGACTCCACTGATATCAGTCGATGTTGCCCCGTGGCGGGAGCAAGGTGGCTATGAAGTCCAACGTGGAACCCCGTGCCCTGGGTCGGACCACTTTTCGCGCCAACCCGTGGTGTGGCGTGGTCTAGCGCATATGCCTCACCAGGCGTGCGCAAAGCGCCTCCATGTGACATAAACTTCAACCTCCCACTCTCATCTTTAATTTCTAGGTTTTTGAATAGTTGTTGTCTCCGGACGTCAGGCAACTTACCAGGGGGAGGATGCTTGGTAGGTCCCGTGTGCCCCAGAAAAAAATGCAATGTCCTCACCTGGATTACATCCTACACAGCTACAATTTGCCTACTAAGTAGCCCACAAAGCAGCCCACGAAGTACTTGAAGATGTCGCCCAAAGCAGACCATCGCCAATACTAGGTATGTGCCCTCACATCATCATCATCATCATCCTTCTTCTCTCTCCCTCTTCTTACTCCCACGTCTTCCCTCTATACACCCGAAGACCACCCCTGTGCCTCACTGTAGACCAAGCCCCAGCCAGCTATGAAGACTGGGCTATGGCACTGCCCTCAGCAGCGCCCTGCTTCTTGCACGACCACACACACTTGCACCTTGCCCTTAGCGCCAGCAGCAGCCCACGAGCGTCCGCTCCAGCAGCGCTGCCACTAGCATGCAAGTGCATGAATGAGAGCCCAGGCAGCGAGCTCTTTCCTATATGGAAAAAGCCTGCCTCCCCCGACTGCCTGGCTGGCGTGGGCCTCTTCCCAGAAGCTTCCGGTAGGCCCTAGGAAGTTGTGCATCTGTTGCAGTTGTTGGGCCTCCTTCGGTTGGGCCTCCATACTGTCTGTGTATGAGGCTGCAATTCTTGCCCAGGGCCTGCATTTTCGGAAAGGTCAAGAAGGCCGTGGAATGAATTTGCTGCCCAGCCTGTGTTTTCCCTCAACCAATTGGCACGTCAAAACTGTCTGGACCCCAAATACGAAACTGACAGTAGAGGGTCTCTCGAGTTTTGTTAGGCCCGCCTCCACTTAGGGCGGGCACATCTGTAGCAAGGCCCCCTTAGTCCTGATGATTCCCTCCTCCTTTACTTCGATAGTCCTCTGAAAAGTCTTCTAATCTGCAGGCATCATTCCCTTGAGTTCTCTTTCATAGCCCGCAATCACTTGAGGTGTTGTTCGCATGAGTTCTTCTTTTGTGAACCACCGATCTTCGTTGGGATCAAGATGGTGTCTGAATCTGACACGATATTGCATCCTCGGCTTGGGAGGGCGGCCTCTGCCCGGCGGTTTAAGCACTGGCATCATTCAACGTTCCACGATTCCGTCGATGTCCACTTCACCATCCATGGTTGGGGGCAGCATTGATCATCTGGAGGGCAATTGTGCCGTCTCTACGAAACGTGCCATCTTTGAGGCGTGAAAAACTGGGTGTGTACGTAAGTGAGGTGGGATATGAATCACATAAGAAGGTTTGTCTATTTGATTCCCATCTATGTGTATGACCTCCCACGGGCCGAAGTATTGTGGCATTAGCTTTCTAGAGATTCCCACTTCCTGTCCCAGTCCAGATGATTTGACCTGAAACAGAGATGGTTGTTTGCGCTTGTTCTCATATGTCACCATGGCATCTTGAACTTTCTTAATGTGCTCTCTATAGCCCGTTGTAGCATCTGCTCATACTTGACAGCGAACTCTATGCTGCCAGGTGGTGCAGATGACGGAGTTCCTAGTAGTAGGAAATCTAAGGCGGTCTGAGGTTTCCAACCAAGATGCATTTGGTTGAGAGTCATTCCTGTAGTGTTGTGCACAATGTTATTGTACAAACTAGCGACGAGAGGCAACTTCTCGTCCCAGTCATCCTGACTTGGCTTGATGTCATGCTGTAATAGGTGCTGCACTACTCTGTTCATTTGTTCCGCCTGCGGCCTGCCCGTTTGATTCAGGGTGATTCCCTGACGTCATCTCTAGTCTGGTTCCCATCTGTTGGGCCGTGTTTTGCCACAATTCGCTTATGAAACGACCATCTCGGTCGCTAACAATAAACTTGGGCAAGCCAAAGTCTTGTACCCAGTTATCCATAAATAATCTTAGACTAGTGACGTCGTCAGTTTTGGCAATCTCTAGCATAGCGATTAGTCTTGCATAATTGGAAAAACGGTCTACTATAACGAAGATGTGTCGTTTTTCACTCTTGCTGGTCACCAGGGTATCCATAAAATCCATGGACACACTTTGCCCGGGTCCTTCAGGAATCGGCAAAGGCTTGATGAGCCCGAGCAGAGTCTGAGTCCTAGGTTTGTCCCATTGGCAAATCTGGCAAGTTTCAACGTACTTCTTTGCATCTTGCATCATAGAAGGGCACCATAATCTTTGCACTAAGTTAGTTGGTGTTTTCCTATAACCAAAATGATCGGTTCCATTATGACATTTTACTAGAAACAAACTACGCAAAGACTCTCCATCTTGGGGACAACCTTTTATTCCCTGCCTTCTCAAGAAACAGCAAGCCATCTACCATAGTAAATTCATCAGAAGTTAATTTATCTTTCTCTTGAAATTTACGAATGATCTCAGACATAACTGGATATTGATGATAGGCCTCCACCAAAGATCGAGTTAGACCGTCTAATACGCCAAATTCAGTCACTAGTGCTCCGAGAAAATCTGCCCGATGTGATAGTGCATCTACCACCTTGTTGTACTCTCCCTTGATTGGATCAGGTTGATAGTCAAACATGTCTATCACTTGAACACATCGTTTGAGTGCGTCCGAGAGTACAGCCTGTGTCTTGATCCAGCGCAACGTCTCATGGTCAGACCTCAAGTAATACAATTTGCCTAGGAGATAGTGTCTCCAGTGGACCAGCGCTCTGTAGAGGGCATGTAGCTCACGCTCATATGTGGACTTCGCTAATTTTCGAGATGGCATCTTCTTACTCATATACTCGATGGGCCTCAACTTCTTCCCCTCCTTTTGCGCAAGGAACGCACCTATGTCATACGGCCTGACGTCTATGGTCACGACAAAGGGCTGCTCGGGATCTGTTAGTTTGAGAACTTCATAGTGTGTTAGAGCATACTTCAATTTCTTGAAGCTTGCTTCACACTCTTCAGTCCACTCCCAAGCGGTGTCAAGGCGAGTTAGGTCGGTTAGTAGGGAAGCTATAGTACAATAGTTCTTAACAAACGGACGGTAATAGCCCGTCATCCCAAAAAATGACCGAACCTCAGTAATTGTCTAAGGTCTGGGCCAGTCTCGTATGCTGGCCACTTTGGCATCGTCCGACCTCAACCCATCCGCGGAGATTTCATGACCCAAGTACAAAATCTTGGTACAATCGAACTCTCATTTCTCCAAGTTTACCTTGTACTGACGCTGTCTTAGGAGACCTAGCACTATTTTCAAGTGCTCAACATGCTCCTCTACAGTCTTACTAAAGATAAGTATATCGTCGAGGTACACAACGATAAACTTGTCTAAGTAATCATGAAAAATCATATTCATTGGGTGTTGGAATGTTCCAGAGGCATTGCATAGGCCAAAGGGCATCACCACAAACTCTAACAGACCGTACATGGTCTGAAAGGCGGTTTTGTGCTGGTCCTCACGTCTAATAGCAATTTGATGGTATCCGGACTTCAGATTTATCTTTGTGAAGTACCAGCATCCCTACACTCTATCCAATAGGTCGCCGATGCGGGGTAGGGCCTTGCGTTCTTTACGGTGATGGCATTGATACCCCTATAGTCAATGCACATCCTTAAGGTACCTCCCTTCTTAGGAACAAATAATACTGGCGCACCGTAAGGGTAGGTACTAGGCCGAATCCATGTGTGGCCAAGTTGCCACAGTTCAGGCAAGTACCCCTAGCAACTCGGTACCCCCACACCTCGTAATTTAAACCAAGTTTTACCCATGTGGGCTTTCCTTGGTCGCTCTGACCCTTGGACCGACCTACCTTCTGCTTCTCGGTCCCCCTAGCTTTCTCTTTGATAGGAGCCACGACTCCCCCATCCGAAGGTTCACTGGCCCTATGCTGCTCTGTCTCTTCCCCATAGTCTCGGAAGTCGTCAATCTCAGGTGCCTGACCATGATGGTCGACGAACATGAGTTGACTTTTCTTCTTTCAGTCTTGGGGGAGTCTCTTCTTCCTACCATCTCCCTGACTCTGATGAGCGGACCCAAGCTTAGCCTCTATGTCTAATGCTTTCTTGTTGAATGAGGCGAAGTTATGCTGGTCAATGTACGCCTCGTCAACCAGCTTATTTTTGATATTTGTGGGCTGACATCCCAAATAATCTGTGAGGAGTACCTGTGGGTCATAGCGCACACCAGGTACTACGACCAGTCGCTCTACGATGTCTGTGACTTCGCGTATAGTCTGGTACCGCCTGGAACAAAGACTGTTTATCGCATTAGTGGCCTTCTAAGCCCCTTGAGGGTCATGCCGCCTATCGTACACAGTCCGTACGAAGTCTTCCAATGTCTGGGCCTGGGCCCAGACATCGAAATTTTGACCATAGCCCTGCTGTTGCACTAACCTATTTAACCAATGTGTTGTCGATCCCTCTAAAAAGGAGGCAGCGACTATAACTTCCTATTCTGGCCTTGTGAGTTTGTGCCTCACATAAGTGGGCAGAGTCCTCACCCAGGTGTCCAAGTCCTCTTCCTTCTTATTGTCGCCAGAGAAGGGCTTAGGACTCAGCAAGGGAATCTTGGGCATCCACTGCATAGGCTGCCCAGGAGGCTGTTGCGGTGGCTGCATAGCCACTGAGACAGGTTGCTGCATGCTAACCTGCGACTGTCCTAACAATGGCACTGTAGCTGCCACCGACCTCGATGGTACAAAAGGAGAGATAAGAACCGGACCACTAACTACTGGTTGACTACTCGAAAGAGGAATGCCAAACATAGGAGAGGAGGGCCCTACCGGCGACGACGTTATTGAGGGACCCGCAACCGAAGGGGGCGCTACGACATAATGAGGCTGCCTCATCATTGGACGAGGAGCTTGCAGTGCAGTCAGAATTCGTTTTTAGCCGTCTACTGGTTCGGCCAGCACTTTCTGCTGGACAACCTGTGTTTCCGCCACACAAAGAAGTGAGTGACGCAACGCTTGCAGTACAGGGTCACGTGTCGACTCGTCTAGTGCTTCTAGGTTTCTTAACTCCTGTCTCCTAGCTCCTAATCTAGCTTTTCTCGTGATAGCTCTTTGCCTTCTTTTTGCTGCATATCTTAATTGTTGTTGTAGTTGAGCATGCAGTTCTTCCACTTGGAGGATTTCATAATCCTCAGGTGTGAGTGGAATCTACTAGCTGACTTGCAAGCCAACAAATTGACTAATAAAACTCTGAGAGATACCTGACTGACACCTGACGAAGAGGCATGGGACAAGGTTTGTGACATCGTAGCCTCGACCCGGACTCTAGTGTCCGCTTGTCTTGCTGTTGCAAGCGTCCGTTCAGCGTTGGCTGCCGCTGTCCTAGTCCTCTCTAATGTCGTTTTTTCCCTGGCTTCCCTTCGCAGCCTCCTTTCCTCTCCTTGTCCTAATTCCAAGAAGGTAATCAGTCGACTAAGTGCAATTCTACAAGTCACTCTATGGGGTTCTACTAATCTTTCCTCCTCCTCACTACTGCCTGCATCACTTATCAGCTACAGTGTGTGTCATCTAAACTAGAATCCACTGTGTGACACTGGATCCTACCTCAGCATGACACAACCGAGTATGGACAATCAACTAATTCCGGTCAGTCTGGAGAGAAGTAGTCAAGTGGTAACCAGCAATCAATATCAGGTCCTACAAGGGATACTAATTCGATTTTTAGATTACTCTGGAACATATTACATGCAACAAAGAATACTATCTATCTGCAGTTGTCTGTTAGTTGTCAGTCAAATCCGTAACAACCAAATAATCAAAAAAATAAAATAGTGTCACCCGCAGAGATGCATGTCGAATGGAATATTTCCTAATTAATAACTCTGCGAACAATTAGTGGAATCCACCCTATCCCTGTATCCCTTTTGAGTAGCCTCTTTGTATCGACGCCCAGAGCATCTGGTTGAGCAGCGTGTCTGAAGGTGTGCAATCCGGCCCACGCCTGTGCCCCAAGTTTATATCGAACCTGTCAGCCCCTGCACTTTGTTTACCCTCGCATGCAAGGAGCCTTACTTCCGGTCTGATCTAGCTGACAGGGTTCAACACCGGGACCCGCCAGAAATATTTATAGATGGTCTGGTAAGCGTCTGACAAAGGGCTGGCATGCCCGGCATGACCTCTATTGCGCAGCAGCAAAACCAAGGACTTGCAGCAAAGCATGCGTGTACCAGTCCCAGCGGGTTGGCATGCTGACCGTGACCCGAGTGCTTCGTTCAGGGCCCTTCAGAGGCTTCGCCCGTCTCCCACCAGCTTGCTGCCCAGGAAGAATGTCGACTCTCAAGGTTGAGCGCTCGTGACACCTCACATTGAGAGGACTCTCAAGATAGAACTCACTTCCTCACTAAGAAGTAATGAAGAGGGTAGATAAAGAAGAGAGCATCGTACCTCATAATGCCGCCCCCAACCACAGATTTCTCACCGGCAACCTATCGTGCATTTATGATGACCGGTCTCGTCCTCGGCACAACCAGCAGCGTAATGCAGTTCCACCTCGACTTAAATGTCACATTAGCTAGCTCTCATCACTCACCGTACATCCCTAAGTCACCGCATAGCCTTCCTGGCACAACCACACGACCCTGGCTTCCTTCCGTCCAACACCAAAGCCTTATCACTACCCCACACCTCATGCGAAGCACCGAACAGCTATTGTGAAAGACCAATGAAGCACAGTTCGAACCAGCTCCGATACCAAATTGCAAGGAAAATGAGCAGTAGCGAGATGACAATATCCAGAATACACAATCACATTGAAAGCCAGAAAGTATCACAGTGTCCAGAAAGCAGCATTGGACCAATATGACACCAATGGAGAATCGTAACACTGAAAACCAAAGTCAATGAGAGCTTGCTCTCGCCACCACCAACACAAGAGTCCAGGACCTTCTCCCTACTTGGCGCTCACCGCCCAGCCTACTTTCTACACAGCTACAATCTGCCTACTAATTGACAATGCAACTGTTGACGCCAGCAGTCCACGGAGTACTTGAAGATGTCGCCCAAAGCAGACCATCGCCAATACCAGGTATGTGCCCTCACATCATCATCATCATCATCATCCTTCTCTCTCCCTCTTCTGACTCCCACGTCTTCCCTCTGTACACCCGAAAATCACCCCCGCACCTCACTGTAGACCAAGCCCCCATGAAGGCTGGGCCTTGCTTCTTGCACGATTGCATGCACTTGCACCTTGCCCTTCGCGCCAGCAGCAGCCCACGAGCGTCCGCTCCAGCAGCGTTGCCGCTAGCATGCAAGTGTCTGAATGAGAGCCCAGGCAGCGAGCTCTTTCCTAGATGGAAAGAGCCTGCCTCCCCCGGCGGCTTGGCTGGCCTGGGCCTCTGCCCTGAACCTTTCGGTAGGCCCCAGGAGGCTGTGCCTCCGTTGCAGCTGTTGGGCCTCCTTCGGTTGGGCTTCCCAACTGTCTGTGTATGAGGCTGCGATTCATGCCCAGGGCCTGGATTTTCGGAACGGCCTGGAAGGCCGTGGAATGAATTGACAGCAGGGGGCCTCTCGAGTTTTGTTAGGCCCGCCTTCACTTAGGGCGGGCACATCTGTAGCAGGGGCCCGTTAGGCCTGCCGAGGACCCAAATCCTCGCAATTGAGGGCAATACTGGTGATATTCACTTCGGATCATATGGCGACGCAGGTGCACTCGATCACTTGAAGGTGCCCATGTGGGAAAACACGATATAAAGGATATGGTTAAAGACATGGTAGAAACGGCAATCAAAGCCCGGTGAAAAAGACAGTGCAAGTGATGAAAACTCTTACAAAGAGATCAGATATTATAAAAAAACTACATGAATTCTGCATGGACGGACTGGGGGGTGAACGGGGAGGATGGATTGCAAGGATTCAATGGGATGGCTGGCACCTGGATGACAACGATCGGTTGGACACATCGCTGAAAGATTATAGTTTTCTCTTCCATAAATGGACTGTAATGCCCAACAACATCCCACTCCCCCCCCCCCTTAGAGGAAGAGGCAGGGAGGAACTGGCAAGTAGACTTACCCTTGGCCATAGAAGACTGTGTCATCTGCATCCCATCGGTTGATGCTGCACCAAACTTGAAGGACAAGGCCCGTGGCTGAAGGTTCTGGATGCGTAAAGGACTTCATCAAAGAGTGCAGCCCGGGGGCTGGAGCGAGAAGAAGAGCTGTAGGTTGGTATATGGTGTGTCCTCTGCACATTGCGCCTCAACGACCAGGTGTCCTCCTCCACTCAGAAGTGCAGCCACCATTTAGGAGAGAGGTAGCTGGGGAGCTGGAGGGAAAGGTGCTTTCTAAAGAGCAATGGTGGAAAACCCATTGGATATTTACTTTCTTTATTCATTCTATAGTTATTTGAATCTTTTGATTTATTCATTCATATTCATTATTTGATGATTAAACTGATGAACAAGGGGAGGCCGCACTTTGCCATTTGAGAGGGTTGATGACGTGGCAAGAGGACGGGGGAAGACAGCATCAGGAGCAGCAGCAGCAGGAGTTGCAGCAGCAAGGGCAGCAGCGGAGGAGCAGCAAGAGCAGCAGCAGCAGGAGGAGGAAGAACAGCAGCAGCGGCAGAAGCACAAGCACAAGCACCAGAAGGAGCAGGAGTAGCACCAAGAGCAGCTGTTGTTAGCAGTAGCAGTAGTCCCAATAGTAGCAATATTAGCAGCAGTAGCAATAGTAGTTCCAGTAGTAGCAGTGGTTGCAGTAGCAGTTACTGTCGTAGAAGCAGCAGGAGTAGGAATAGAACCAGGAGGAGTGGCAGTAGTAGTAGAAAGAGCAGGAGTAGCAGTAGCAGAAGACTTAGTAGGAGTAGCAGGCAAAGCACTAGCAGCAGAGGCGGCATTAGTAGTAGCAGCAGTGGCAGCATCAGTAGTGGCAGCAATGGTAGTAGTAGCAGTGGTAGGAGCAGTGGTAGGAGCAGTGGTAGGGGCAGTGGTAGGAGCAGTGGCGGGAGCAGTGGCAGGAGCAGTGGCAGGAGCAGCAGGAGCAGCAGCAGTGGCAAGAGCAGTAGCAGGAGCCGAAGCAGGAGCAGGAGCAGGAGCAGGAGCATAAGGAGTCGCAGGAGCATAAGAAGCAGGAGCATTAGGAGCAGGAGCCGAAGGAGCAGGAGCATTAGGAACAGGAGCATTAGGAGCAGAAGCAGGCACCAAAGGTTAACAGGGACCCCCACTATTCAGCCCCAAGGTAACACCCCCAACCTTGAAAAGTGCATTGGAGATCATTTTTTCCAGTTTTTTTTTTTTTTTTGACCTGTTTTATTTTCGGTCAATGTCTGTGTGTGCCAAGTTTGCTGTTTGTTGGGGTCTTGGAGCTCACTGTTTTGGCCAGCCCTGAAAAATCCTGAAACTCCTGAAAACCGAAAACAGTGAATTTTGCATGAGGCTTAACTGTTTAAGGCCCCTTTGATCATTTTTGTTTAATTTTTTTTTGCTGTTGGTTTATTTGGTGTCCACTCTATGGACTGGTGACAAGTCTGGCGTAAAAGGTATGGGACGTTTGTTATAATGACCCTGAAAACATCCTGAAAATTTAGGGCTCTGTTAACCTCTTTTCGAAGCAGGAGCAGCAGGAGCAGTTGTTGAGGATCAGGAGCAGCAGTAGATGCAGTAGCAAAAGTAGGATCAGCAGCAGCAGCAGTGGCAGTAGCAGGAGAAGCAGCAGCAGAAGTACTAGCAGCAGCAGAAGCAGAAGCAGCAGCAGCAGCAGTAGTACTAGTAGCAGCAGCAGCGCCAGGAATAGCATCCAAAGCAGGATGCAGCAGCAGCGAAAGCAGTAGAGTAGGAGCACTGCAAAACCAGTAGGTGCAACAGCACAGCTAAAGCAGTAGGAGTAGCAGTGGCAGCGGCAAGCCGGCAGTAGTAGCAGTAGCAGTAGTAGCAGCAGTCACGATAGCAGCAGCAGCAGCAGCAGTAGCAGCAGCAGCAGCAGCAGTAGCAGCAGTAGCAGCAGCAGTAGCAGCAGTAGTAGCAGCAGTAGTAGTGGTAGTAGTAGCAGCAGTAGTAGTAGTAGCAGCAGTAGTAGCAGCAGCAGTAGTGGCAGCAGCAGTAGTAGCAGCAACAGTAGTACTTGCAGCAGTAGTAGTAATAGCAGCAGCAATTACTGTAGTAGTAGTAGTAGTAGTAGAGGTAGTAGTAGTAGTAGTAGTAGTAGTAGTAGCAGCAGTCACAATAGCAGTAGCAGCAGCAATAGCAGCAGCAGTAACAGCAGTAGTAGCAACAACAACATCAACAACATCATCATCATCATCATCAGCAGCAGCAGCAGCAGCAGCAGCAGCGGCAGCAATAGCAGCAGAAGCAGCAACAGCAGCAGCAGCAGCAGCAGCAGCAGCAACAGCAACAGCAGCAGCAGCAACAACAACAGCAGCAGCAGCAGTAGCAACAGCAGTAGTAGCAGAAGCAGCAGCAGTAGTAGCAGCAGCCGTAGAAGGAGCAGCAGTAGACACAATAGCAGCAGCAGTAACAATAGCAGCAGCAGTAGCAATAGCAGCAGCAATAGCAATAGCACCAGCAGTCGCAATAGCAGCAGCAGGCACAATAGCAGCAGCAGGCACAATAGCCGCAGCAGTAACTAGTAGTAGCAGCAGCAGGAGCAGCAGAAGCAGAAGGAGCAGCAGGAGTAGCAGCAGGAGTAGCAGCAGCAGTAGCAGTAGTAGCAGTAGTAGTTGCAGCAGTAGTAGTAGCAGTAATAGCAGCAGTAGTAGCGGTAGTAGTGGTTGAGGTAGTGGTAGTCACTGTGGTAGTAGTAGTAGTAGTAGTAGTGGTAGTGGTAGTGGTAGTGGTAGTGGTAGTAGTAGCAGAAGCAGTTACTGTAGTAGTAGCGATAGCAGCAGTAGTAGCAGTAGTAGCATATTATTGTGATGATCCCCGATAAAATCACTGTCCTAGATTCCTTCAATTTCTGAGCAGATGCTGCTCTTTGGGTCTGTTTTCTGAGAATTACGAGGCTGTGTCTGTTGTGCTGAGATTTGTTGTGTTTTCTGAGTTAATGTGTGAGGTACCACTTACATGCATGTGCTGTGCGCAGGCTGAGTCCAAGTCAGTGTCCATGTGCTAACTCCGTTGGCCACATGTGTGTGAATGTTACTCGCATAGGGACAAGGTGGGAATAGAGTGACAGCCAGGGGCAGGACTGCAATCGGCCATAGAATATGCTGGGGTGTAGTCAAGTGCCCAAGGACCCAGTAGGATTTTCCAGCAACTCAGGTAGGCCCTAGAACCCGGTAGTCTTAGTGGGTAGGCCAGCAACGGCCAAAAAAAGTCACAAGTGCTGAGGTCCATACCTGGCAGGGTTCTAGGTTGGAAGGCCCTGAAGCCAAGTTGCAGGCTGAAATTATTTTCCCCCCAAAAAGCAGGAACACCCATTAGGGCTAGTGCACCCACGGGAGGCCAGGTAGTGCTGGATAGTGCCCGGCCAGGAGGCACCGGAGGCTGCGCAGCCAAAGTACACAAGCAGGTGTAGAATGGAGGGCACAAACACTTCGGTTCTTTCTTCAAGTGAGCATTGTGCTGCTCCGCTGAGACGGTGAGGTAGGTGAAGCACTTGGAGGAGAAGGTGGAGCTTGAGGGTGCAAGTGAAGACCTCCATGGCTATGGAGGGGTAGCGGGAGGTGCTAGGGATAGGCCATAGCTATGGAGGTGATGGTGATGGACCTCAAGCCTGGCAATGGGGATGCATAGGAAGTAGGAGGAGGACAAAGGAGGGACGGACCAGGAGGGAGACTCACCTTTGGCTATGGCTAACTTTCATCTCCGCTTCATTGGTTGGCACGGCACCTAGAAGAGCCCTGTGTGCGTACCAGCTGTGCTGGAGCTTCATCCAAGAGTAGGGGTATGGCGGCAAGAGATGAGAGAGCCATAACGGAGTTTCCATTGTCCTCTGAATGTCCGTGATGCACAGGGATGTCCCGCCATAGCAAGGGAAGTTACAAAGTGAGGAGGAGTGAGGTTATGGCTACAAAGAAGAGCCCTTACATCAATTTCGTCCATTCAACGCTCTTTGTGTTCTTGGACTGATTTTATGATTTGGCTTTGGTTGATTTTGTCCTACACTCCCAACGAAAGAATATCACAGCAAACAAAAAAAGAAGAAAGAAAGAAAGAAAGAAAGAACTTGAATGTCACAGGAATGCAGTATGAGATTCACTATAATTAATATGTTGTTCCTGAACCAGGCCAGATATATCAAAGAAGAAAAACAGAACTTCAAGCTCACTGTGTTCTGCCATTCACAGGCCACAGGAGAGCCCAGTAAGGATGCATGTATATAGTCACCTTGTGAGTGAGTGGTACACGTCTAACTGAAATAGACCAGAGCTCAAATCATCGGGACACGAATTAATCTGGATCAGTAAAAATATGAAAACTCTGAAAAAGATTGACATTATTGTGCTTGAGTTTGATAGTACAAATTCAAGGAAATGAGCAAGTTGAACACGAATGACAATAAACCAGATTGCAGCATTCCATAGAAATCCAGATGACTTTGATCCCGAAGTCAAAGCGGATTGCAAACCGAGATAACATCAATTAAGCACATTGTCAAGCAAAGCATTGAAGTCGCATGATAATGAAAGCCCCTTTTTCGCCTCAGACGATCCAATCACGAATGTCAGCAATGTAGCCCTCCTACGTTTGCACTCGGTGCCCAGACTACAAACAGACAGCTCCTGCCCACCCAGACTCCTAGCTAAAACAGGTCCACAATGAAGATCATCAGCCTGATGACAAATGAAGACTCCGAACGCAGGGCTTGATTCTTCTCCACCAGGTAAGTGCCTTGTCACATTGCCCTTCGCCCTGACTTCCCTCAAAGTCCCCTCCTCCTAAGGACCACCGCCTTCCTCCTCCGGCTATGGCCGCCAGCAGCCCGGCTATAGCTGCTGCACCCTTCTGCTTTGCTGCGCCAAGCAGCTTCCTCGGGCCGCGCCAGCGCCCTTCTTCCCTCTCCTCTGGCACTCGTTCCCACAAGCTAGCGCTCCAGCAGCACTGCCACATCCAGCCAGCCAGAATGTGCCCAGTGAGCAAGGCTCACTTCCTTTTGTGATGCCTGGCTCGTGGCCTGGCTAGAACGTATGCGCCCCTGTCCCAGTAGCAGCGCCCTGAGACCCTTCCAGAATCTGCACGGGGCTCAGCTGTAAGGCCCTGAGCCTCAGCATCTTCAACCAACCGAAGGTTAATCCTACCAGTTGGTTGGCTGTTGTCCTAAAAAAAAAAAAAAAAAAAAAAAGAGAGATGCTTCGTGCAGCAACCAACCCACGGGGCCCTGTAACACACTTTCCTGTCGCCATAGACACATGGTCCGAAAATTTCGTATAGCTTGTGTATAGTCCTCTAGATCATGGCGTGCGGAGTGAAGCAACACCAAGGCCAACATTTGTAGACCGGCCTTCTCTTAGAGCAGGTAGGGCCTTTTTCCAGCATGCAGAGGGATCATTTCTTTGCACACGCTCTTATTTTTTGCAGTCCTGTACACACAGTCATGATGAGGGTGTATTGTATTCTATCAGGAGAAAAAAAGATGATACCATCAGTGTCAGTGCAGAATAGCAGCAGTTGCTGAAGGCTGCATGCTCCTGGAGGGTCAATTGCAGAATATAGTAATCAGTGCTCCTCCCCACATCACAGAGTTTAAGCCACCAGTACATCTGAGCCTTTTTTTGCCTGAGGTGGATTCCCCCAGGATGCCACGCTTTGCCGAAACCGGAATGCCGCGCTTTTTCTTTTCTTTTGGCTGGCGGGCACCGCCAGCCATTTTAGGCAGGTAACCCCGAGCCTCCAAAGGTTTCACAATGAGCCGATTATGATTCTCAGGTTGTCCTGGGCCATGAACTGGTGGTTAAAACCACCAGTTCACCTGAGCAGCCTGAGTTGAGCTCTTGCCGGTAAAAGTGCTAAAGAGCTTTTTGCTAAAGAGCTTTTCGATCTGGGCCTGGGCCAGTAGTGAAACACAGAACGCCACTTTGAGAAGTTTGAGTGGGAGGCTCGCGAGCCTTGGAAGGTAACTTTGTCGACTTAGGCTCGTGCGATATCATGGTATTTTAAGGACAAGAAGGACAGACATGGCCCAAGCACATTAAGAAACACCCAGAGTGAGCAGGTCAGAATAAACCTTGGCCTCTGCAACCTCAAGCACAGATCATGCACCTGGCAATCTGCTCAAGCCAGGTACTACATGATTCTGACTGCCAAGAAAGGATTTCCTGGGGAAAACAGACCAGGTCCTGTGATTGAACCCAAAATCGAACTAGATGAATGAAAATTCTGCATTGCCTAGGGATGGTCAGTTCGGCTATAATATTCTCAAGGCTGTAGCCCTTTTCAATAAGAAAGGAAATTATACTGTTTATAGATAAACATATTAATATCTATGTATCCATGTGCGTTGTAAATTGTGACCACAACAACCCCGTTTCCACCCCGATGAGAAGATCCAAAATTGAAACAGCTTTGCCTCTACACCAAACAACATGATGGTCACTGAGGTGAGCGGATCCAAAACTGAAACAGCTAGTATCTCTATCGCAAAAAACATGAAGCAAGTAAAACCGTTATAATTTTGTCTTTCCTGTACTATAACAGTCCTTTCTTCGTTTTCCGTACTTTGGCTTTCCTTGGGGTTCCCCTTTTAATAGGCTTTTATTGGGTCTTGCAGCTACCCTCTTATTGTGCCTCTCACATAGAAGCCTTGCCATGTTGACTGTGGTTGAGTGCTTTAGCTGCCCACATCCCCATGTGTCATGACAGCCCACTTCCACGCTATGAAAGGAGGCAGAGAGTGAAGGGGGAGATATACTCTTGTTCAGTTTTCAGCAGATCTTCAGCTTATATTTTGTTTATTCTCTAAATGATGCGCATTTGTATGCGTCTAGTACACTAACTACTACACAAGGAGAGGGAGGACGGCGAGGGGCACGATTTCAGAACACCGGAAATACAAACTTCATAGGGTTCTGAATACTCACCGCCAGTCTGAGAGCAGATTATACCACAGAATGACACTAGAGGACAGTCAATGTTTGGGTCGTGGGGAACAGACAGGCTACCCCTGCACAATGTTTGGGTCGAGAGTAGCTGACAGTCCAATTTGAGTTCAGAAGAAGGCATTTGCCTAAGGTAAGCGACCACCTTTACATCCAATTCTTGCAGTTGCAGTTGCTGCATCGAATGGCACGGCGTAGGCAGATCTCACACTGTCACAGGCGACTGGACTTGGTTCCTACATGTGTTTAAAGCTTCCCAAATTATATCTCATTTCCTCCACAAATCAGACAAAACATCCATCCATAACAAAAAGGTATACATACAAGATAGCTAATACAAGAGAGAATGCAAGGTTGGCCACGTTTGTGTGGTTCAGCACTAAGTGCCCACACACCCGTCTGCCGCCGAAGCGACAAAACCGTTTGTTTGTTTTTTTTGTCATTTCCTGTGCAGTTCTTTCTTCTCTTTCATGACTTTTGCTTTTTTCGTGGTTTCTCTTTTATTTCCTCTTTCACCTCCCCCTTTGCTGTGCCTCTCACTTACAACTCCCACCATGTTGATGTAGTTGCATGCGAGCTGCCCACATCCCTGTGTGCCATAGCCGCCCGCTTGCAAACTATGAAAAGTAGGCAGAGTAAAGAGAGAGGGGTAGCCGGGAATGTGTACACACTCTTAATGATACTCAGTGAAACGGATTCCACCTTTCGCAGTAGCCGATGCAGATCCCACGGTTCGATCCCTAGTCCTCACTTCACCTGTGTACAGTATCTGAGTTGACCCTGAGAGTTGAACCCGTGACTTGTGTATTCGCAGTACTTGGTAGGCTGTCGTAGGTCCGTAGGTTGTAGGGGTTCGATCTGTAGACCTGTCGTTTGTAGGTCTTAGCAGGTCCTAGGAGTCGTAGCTGTAGCCCCTCCGAAGGGTCAAACGTAGCTGCTGTAGACCTGAAAGGTCAAGGTCGTCGCTGCTACGGTACCGAAAGGCCAAGTCTACGGACTTCCGGAAGGTCTGGAAGTGGCCTTTCGGAGCTTGCTCACGTTTACACAGAGGCAAGTGGGCAAGTGGCGAGGCCAACTGCAGTACGTCGGCAGTGCGACTGCGGTGAGTTGGCAATGCGTCCCCATGCAGTCAGTGATATCAGTCCCAGTCAGTCAGGGTCCAGTCAAGCAAGTACAGTGTGGGACCGTGTGCACCCAGGGCATGGGAAAGGGGCAGACCAACAAGCTACAGAAGTATAAAGCAAGAGGCAGCGACTAGTCATGCATTCATTTCCTGCGTAAGCCATGCGGAAGCGCTGCTTGAGCGTCTTGTGCGAGGTGGTCTGCAGATGCGCCTGAAGTCGAAGCGGGCTGAAGAAGATAGCGTAGCCATAGCTGTAGGTAGTGACAGCGGCTAGCGCCGCCATAGCTGTAGGTGAGTGCAGTGTGCGTGTGCGCGTGTATACAGAGACTCAGTGTGCTGCATGTGGGATATCCAGGGTAATCTAGAGTTGAGTAAGTGTGAGCGGTGAAGTCAGCACAGTGACGAACAAGAGTTGTGGGGCGCTATTGCGCCATAGCTTATCTGAAGCGAGTTGCTGTTCTTGGTTCCATATATCTGAGTTCTGAGTTGGGCGCATATCGCCAATTTACTGTGTCACCTGACAGTGTTTGCATGCGTGTGAAGCAAGAAAGAAAGCGAGTCTGATTGCACTCAGTTGTATGCAATTAGTAGTTTTATGAGGGGAGGCAAGAGGGAGAAGGGGAAGGGAAGGGAGAACTGCACATTGTCAAGGGGAGAAAGGAGGAAGACGGGGACGGGGAGTGAGAAGCTCTATACAAGGGAAGGGAGGACTGAGAAGGGGAAGAGGAGGGAGATGGTGGGAGGAAGAATTAGGACAGGGGAAAGATGGACTTCACAGGGTTCTGAGCACCCACTGTGTCTACTATGCCATTAATGTGTGTGTGTGTGTGTGTGTGTGTGTGTGTGTGTGTGTGTGTGTGTGTGTGTGTGTGTGTGTGTGTGTGTGTGTGTGTGTGTGTGTG